AAGATACACGTCTACGGGTATTCCGTGGTAAGCGGGGGCGGGGGTCTGGGGACCCACCCGTGGGGAACGAGGCTTCACCCACCCCACAGCGGCACAGGTGCCGGTGCCCGTGCCCATCTTGCTGCCTGGCACTGCCCCCGGGAGCAGAGCTGAGCTGGAGGGCAGGCCTGGGGGTGCTGTGTCATCTCGGTGTCCCTCTGCACGCCCCGAGGAAGGTGTTGGTGATGCTGGTGCCGGTTTCCCAGCTCCAGGGTGGCACTACCCCCCTGCCTGGGTGTTGTGAGGGGTTTGGTCAGAGCTGGCTGGTCGTTTATAGACACGGACTCAGCAGCATCTTGTGCTGCCAGAGGCTGCTGTTGGGGGTTCTGGTTGCAGTGAGCAGCCCCAGGAGTTCACTGAGCCCTGCCATGTGTGCTGACTGCTTCAGCTCCACTTTCAGGACCCTCTCTCCTCTGCCAGGGCTTCGGCCGAGCGGACCACTCTGTGACTACAGAGAAGCTGAAAGCCAAGTATCCGGACTACGAGATCACCTGGGCAGATGAAGGCTACTGACTGGCTCTGGCTGGGCAGCTGTGCCAGCCTGGAGCTGGCACAGGCTCCCCATGCTCTGCAGCACCCTAGGCTCTCCTGGTTTTCCTTTGTGTTGAACTCACCCATTCTCCACTGTTACCAGACTTCCCACGCGCCACGGGTGCCCCTTTCCTCCCCGGCACAGCGCGGCAAAGCCTCGGCAAAGCTGGGCCTCTACCCTGGCCTCCCTGGTGGCCAGGGGGTATGTTCCACACGTGTATGTGAAAATTAAACACGTTGGGGAGTGCAGCTCCTTGCATGGTGACATGTTCCTGGCTCCCCAGGGCTGTGGTGAACAGGAATGACCCCCTGGGGTGCCAGACCCTCATGGGCGGCCTGATCTGGCAGGGTCTGGGGTGGAGACAGCAGAAGGTGCATCAGGTTTAGCCTTGAGAAGGGTTGATGCAGGTGAGGAGAAAGGGATGAGTCCCCATGCTTGACAGAGGGAAGGGCAGGGTGTTCTCAGGGCAAGGACCATCCTCTTTTGCTGGGTGGGAGCCAAGCTGCTAGGGAGCATGGTTTGGAAGATATTCCTGTTCCCACCCTAGCAGTGGGACACATCTGAAGGTAGAGCATTCTGGGCTTCAGCTCTCTGGATTCCTGTATATCCCAGGGAGACTCTGCACTTGCATGCCCAGTGAGAAGTGGGGTGGGGAGACTGGGAAAAGCTGCTGGAGCTTGGGGTGCCTGAAGAGCTTGAGGGACACATGCAGGTCAGGCTGGACAGGTGGATTGCTCGATTGCTGTCACATGTAAGGTTGGGGCTGGAGGAACCACCCCTCCCTGGTCCCAGCCCTGTTTCACTCTCCGAGCTGCAGTCCTGTCAGCTGCCAGCTCCTACCTGGTCACTGGTCCTGCTGCTGCCTACTGCTCCTGCTGTCAGGGATGGGGGCTTCAAGACAGGAGATAGTTCCTCTGTGCCTGGAGCAGTGAGGGGTTGGCACGACCTGCTAAAGCTCAGCCCCTGTGCCTGATTTCCTGCCCAAACTCAAAAGGTGGATCAGGATGGGTGTGAATAAAATCACCAAATAATTTGGGTTGGAAAAGGCCTCTAAGATCATCAAGTCCAACCATTAACCCAGCACTGCCAAGGCCACCATTAAACCATGTCCCTCAGCAGCACATCTACATGGCTTTTAAGCCACAGGGACTGCATCACTGTTCTGGGCCGCCTGTGCTAGGGTCTGACAACCCTTTTGGGGCAAGTGATGGTCTTCAGGGATCTGTACTGGGACCAGTGCTGTTTAGTACCTACATTAATGATATAGACAGTGGGATCGAGGGCACCCTGAGCAAGTTTGCAGATGACACCAAGTTGAATGGTGCCATCAACACTCCAGAGGGAAGGGATGTTATCCAGAAGGGATAAAGCTAGAGAAGTGGGCCCATGTGAACTTCATGAGGTTCAACAAGGCCAAGTGCAGGGTCCTGCACCTGGGTAGAAGCAGTCCTCATTATCACTACAGCCTGGGGGATGATGTAATAGAGAGAGACCCTGTAGAAAAGGACCTGGAGGTACTGGTGGACAAAAAGTTGGACATGAGAAAACTGCACTTGCAGCCCAGAGGGCCAATCACAACCTGGGCTGAATCAAAAGCAGCGTGGCCATCAGGTCAAGGGTGGGGAATTCTGCCTCTCTTACCTCTTTTGAGACCCCACCTGGAGAACTACATCCAGCTCTGGAGCCCTCAACACAAGAGGGACATGGACCTGTTGGAAGGAGTCCAGAGAAGGGCCACAAAAATTGTCCAAGGCCTGGAGCAGCTCTTCTATGAAAACAGACTGAGAGAGATGGGATTGTTCAGCCTGCAGAGGGGAAGGCTCCAGGGAGACCTTATAGAGACCTTCCAGTACCTGAAGGTCCTACAGGAAAGCTGGGGAGGGACTGTTTACAAGGGCTTCTAGCAATAGGACAAGAGGTAATGGTCTAAAACTAGAGCAGGATAGATTAGATTAGGCATTAGGAAGAAGTTATTTACAACAAGGGTGGTGAAGCACTGGAACAGGCTGCCCAGAGAGGTGGTGGAGGCCCCATCCCTGGAGACATTCAGGGTTAAAAGTGTGGAGGCTCTGAGCAACCTGATCTAGTTTAAAAGTGCACCCTGTGCGCTGCAGAGGGGGCTGGACTAGATGACCTTTAAAGGTCCCTCCCAACTCCACATGTTCTATGATTTTGTGATTCTGTGATCCGTGTTCTTGCTTTTTTCTTGCTTTCTCTCGTCCCTTCATGGGCACTCGCTGCTCAGAAGAAGCTGCCTCCTTCCCTCCTGTTGGGTCTTACACACACAGGGACATGTCCTGTGCCTTCTCTGCTCCAGGCTGAGCAGCTCCAGCTTTCTCAGCCTCTCCTCGTGGGAAGTCCAGTCCCTTCATCATCATCACAGCCCCTCACTGAATCTACTCCAGGACACCCGTGTCTCTGATGCTGGAGGCTCAGCATCCCCGTGTCTCCCCAGTGCAGAGGGAAGGGATCAGACCTGCTGGAGATGCTCTGCCTACAGCTGGTGGCTGCTTTGCCAGAGGCCTCAGTGCTGGCTGGTGGTCAGCTTGGGGCCTGACGGGTTCCCAGGCAGCCAGGAAAGGCAGGACTGCTGCCTTGGGGGCCAGGCCAGTCCCAGCTGACGCTGGAGGAAGGAGCTGGACCCTGGGTTTTACTGCCCCTGATGCAATTGTGCTGCAATCTGGCCAAGGCCATCAGCTGAGGGGAGAAACAACCACCCTCAGCTATTGGCTCCAGGGGCCCATCTCTGGGGGGCAGGTGCTGCTGGCAGTGCAGGCAGGAGGGGTTCCTGGCCACGTGGGGAAACTGAGGCAGGGGCAGTGGTTGCCATCACCAGGCAACTCCTGTTGTGCCATGCAGGGCTCAGCCTACAGAGTCATAGAATCGTGGAGTTGTTTTGGTTGGAAAAGACCTTTATGATCAAGTCCAACCGTTAACACAGCACTGCCAAGGCCCCCACTGACTCAACTGTACTGAGGTCAGTACTAACCCATGTCCCTCAGCACCACATCTACACAGCTTGTAAATCCCTCCAGGGATGATGACTCCACTGCTGCCTTGGGCAGCCTGTGCCAAGCCCTGACAACCCTTCTGGGGAAAAAATTGTTCCCAATATCCCATCTAAATGTCCCCTGGTGAAACTTAAGGCTATTTCCTCTTGTTCTATCATTTGTTACTTGAGAAATGAGCCTGTGTGTGCCCAGGTGGCCAAGGCAGCCACCAGCATCCTGGCTTGTGTCAGCACTGGTGTGGCCAGCAGGAGCAGTGCAGGGATCAACCCCCTGTGCTGGGCACTGGGGAGGGGGCACCTCGAATCCTGGGATCAGTTCTGGGCCCCTTGCAACAGGGACATTGAGGGACTGGAGCATGTCCAGAGAAGGGCAACAGAGCTGGGGAAGATCCTTCCAGAATGATCAGCCCTTCCTGGGACTCTGCTTGGGTTGCTCCCCTCAGGAACCACCCAGAGCTGTGCCCTTTGCCCCGTGGTGGTCGTACAGGGCAGGCAGGGGTGAGGACTGGCTCCTGCTGGTGGCACCTGCGGGACCCCCGGCCCAGAGGCTGCTGACTGGGGAATGGGCAAGGGCTGGGCATGGGCAACTGGGACCCTGCCAAGGAGCTTTGCAGGCAGCCTGCCAGGCTCTGCACTGGCCGGGGCATCCTCCTGCCATGGCTGCTGCACAGGCAGCAGGAGCACAGGGCTACCAGGCTTCTCTGCCCACACCGGGCAGGATGAGACCCCTCCTGCCATCCGCATGTCACTGGGCTGGGCTGGAGCCCTGGCTTTTGACAAAGCCAGCTCAGCTGGGTTCTGGGATAGGCTGCTCCTCCTGCCTGTCCTCCTGCCTGTCCCTGCCTCCTCTTCCAGCCTGTCCCAAGTATCCAGACAGCCAGAGTTTTGTTGTGAATTCAAATCCCCCCCAAGTCCTACAGCCCCCTGTCTGCTGTGGCTCACCATTGCCTGGGTGCATCATGACCCATTTGTACCTTGCCTGCCTTGGAGGTTGCTCCTTGCACCCTATTTCCACTGCACCAAGCACAGCTGCCCTCCCTTGCCAGGGTGTCCCCCCCAAGTCAGCCTGTGACCTGCACCCAAATCTGTCCCCTGCACCCAAAGGCTCTCCCATTGCTCCTGGTGCTCAGTGACCATTTCTCTTTGTGGTTAGACATGACACAGCCCAGGCAGCTGGCACAGCATGGCACAGACCCCACCCCTGGCAGAGCTGCCAGCTTCTCCAGGCAGCATGGCTGGTTGGGCAGGAAGAAGTGTCCTTTTCCTTCACCAAACCAGTGTGTGCTTCTGGACAGTGCGAGCTGGCCCTGCCCCACTCAGAGCAGCACCCAGCATCTCGGCATGGCTGGAAAAGGGCAGCTGAGGAAGAGGGGCTTGATGGGGAAAAGCAGCTGATGGTGTCCTGGAGACTGCCAGCTGCCACCACTGCCTGCCATGCTGGGCAGCAGGAGATAGTGACCTGTCCCCAGCCCAGCAAACTGCTTGGCCATAAACCCTGTGGCCAGAGCTGGGGAGCTGATAAGAGCAGGGTTGAAGTCCAGCACGGGATAAGACCTGGGGACCAGATTCCAGCCCTGGCCTCTCCTGCCAGCCCTTTGTCTCTCCCGGCTCCGTTCTACCCTCACCGTGGCCCAGAGGCCAAGATGGCTGGGCAGGCGACACTGACCCTCCTGCTGCTGCTGGGTGAGCTCTGCCAACACTGGGGTTGTTCCATGGGGAGGGAAGGGGCTGTGGCACTGGCTGCCCTGCTCCCTCCCACCCCAGCTTGGGCTCCCATGGGGATCAGGGGCTTCCATGGGGATCAATGTTTCCCCCAGCTCTGGGGGGCTGTGCTGCTTCAGAGGGGGATGGGGCAGATAGGGCACAGCAAAACCCTCCTCTGGGCTCTGCTGATGAAGGTCAGATCAGGGTCCTTCAGGGAACTGAAGCTGCCAGTGCCAAGCTGCTTGTTGCTGGTGGCATTGCTCAGTGTGGGGAGGAAAATGCTCATGTTGTCTTGTTTCCCCCAAAGTGGGGGCTGATACTCAAAACAGGGGCATGTGGGTCAGTGTCCCAGCCCGGACGGGCTCTGGCACCCCAGGGGCTGGGGGTGGAAGACAGTGAACTGGGAGGTGGGGGAGGTGCAGGGTGCCAGGGCAGAAGCAGGAGGTCCCATCCAAGGGATGATGCTGCTGAGAGCCCAGACAAGTGTCACCTGAAGACCATGTGTGCCCTCTGTCACTGCCACGGGCCCCATGCCTGGGTGCCCGTGGGGATTTCATCCCCATTGTCTCTCCTGTAGCTGTCACTGTCCTCCCCAGTTGGTCCATGGTGGTCAACAGCTGCAGCAGTGCAGCCGAGCAGCTCTGTGACTTTGTCTGCAACTGCAGTGACTGCTCTGATGAGAATCAATGTGGTGGGTGCCCAGACCCCCTCACCTCCCAACCCCTGCCCCATTCCCAGACCCTGCTCCTGGGGTGAGGGCAGGCAATGGAGCTGGGGGCACCATGGCTGAAGGTCCCTGGGATGGGTGCTGGTGCCAAGGGTGGGTGCAGGACTCCACTGTGGATGAAGGTCCCTCAGGTAAAATGGGTGCAGGTCTCTGAGGTGGGCTTAAGTTCCCAGGCTTCTCTGAGTAGATCCCCCTGGCTGGATGCAGGATCCCAGTGTGCCTGGCAGACACCCCAGGGTGCGTGCAGGTCCCTGGGGTTGGTGCAGGTCCCCAGAGTGGATGCAGGTCCCCGGGGTTGGAACAGATCCTCAAGGGTGGGCACAGGTCCCTAGGATGGGTGTAGGTCCCTGGGGTTGGCACATGTCCCTAAGGGTGGACATAGATCCCCAGGGTGGATGCAGGTCCCCAGGTGGGTGCAGGTTCCCAGGATGTCCCCAGCTGAGCTTTGACACCTTGTCTGCCCACCCCAGGGTACCTGCAGGGCTCAGTGGTGCTGGGCACCCCCTTCACCTGTGATTTCGAGGAAGGCGACTGCGGCTGGCGGGACGTGAGCACCTCGGCCCACAGATGGGTGCGGGGCCGGGCCAGCCTGGCTGCGTGGGGCGCGGGTCCCCACTCAGACCACACCGTGGGCACAGACCTGGGTGAGCTGGAGCTGCTGGGCTGCTGAGTGGGCTTCGGGCACCCAAAGGCCATGGGTGCCCTGAAGCCAGTGTGCTGTCTTGTAGGGTACAGGGGATGGAGCAGACCCTTGGTGGGGCAGGAGCGGTACCAGCTGTGGCTCCAGGGCGATCCCATGGAGCTGCAGCCCCTGTTCTGCTCTCTGTCCTCCCCAGGGTGGTTCATGGTGACCGTGTCTCCCCCAGCAAAGACCACGGCCACAGCCTGGCTCAGGTCACAAGTGATGAGGGAAGCAGCTGCCACATGTGAGATCAGGGCCTGGTACCACCTCTCAGGAAGCGGTGAGGGAACCCACAGTGGGCACAACCAGGCCTTGGGGTACCAGGCACAGGGAAGCAATGATGGGGGCAGCAGGGAGGGATGGGACCATGGCAGAGCTGCTGAGATGGGTTCTTGCCACCCCACTTGCCTGGTCCCCAGAGCTCTTGGGTCTTGACTCATCCCTGGGGCTATCCCCTGGGATGCCCAGTGCCAAGGGCCACGTTTCGGGGCTCCCGCAGGGCTGAACCAGATGGAGCAGCCAGTGCTGCGTCTGGCCATGGTGCATAGGGACGAGGTGGTGGAGCTGTGGCAGAGCCCGAGGAACCAAGGCGAAGGCTGGCACCAGCTGGTCACCTACCTGGGCCGGGTCCCAGGGCAGTTCCAGGTGAGATGGGGCCATGTTGGTACCCAGGCCACTGAGCTGGCGCTGGGAGAGCCAGGGATGCACGGGGAGCCAAAGGTGCCGGGTGACTCAGGCAGGGGCTCAGCTCACACCATCTCTCATGTCTTGTCGGCAGCTCATCTTCTCCCTGACTCAGCTGCCTGCATGTGAGGCAGAGGTGGCGCTCGACGACATCATCTTCAGGAACTGTGGCTTGCAGGGTGAGTCCTGTGTCCGGGAGGAGAAAGAAGCCGGGATCCGCAGGGAATTTGTTCGGATTTTGCACCGCGGGGGAGCCCCCCACTGCCTGTGGTGTCCTAGGGGCTCCTTACCTTGGCCAGGCTGTGGGGTGGGTAGCAAAAGCCTGTCCGTCGAGTGACGCAGAGGATGGGGAGGGGGGGGCAGCACACGCTGGGGTCCCTGAGGGGCCAGCCCTGTGCTGATGGCGTGTCCCACCCCCAGAGCCTGGGCAGCCGCTCTGCAGGGGGGAGCAGAACCACTGCGGGCAGGGCAGCTGCCTGGCCCGTTCCCGCTTCTGCGACGGCACCGAGGACTGTGGGGACGGCTCGGACGAGGATGCGGCGCGGTGCAGTGAGCATCCCTGCCCCGGGGGGTCCTGCCCACTGGCCCGCCGACCCCACGGGTGGGCTGAGGATCGGCCCTGACAGGGCAAATCTGGGCCGTCGGGCTGACAGGATTCATCCCAGACCCCACAACTGTGTGGCAGGAGGGGATAAATCACCCCAAGGGTTTGGCAGAGGGGTCAGCCCCATGGGGACCTCCCTGGGTCACTGCTCTCCCTCCCTCCCCGCAGAGCCCTTCACCCGCTGCTCCTTTGAGCAAGGTTTCTGCAACTGGGAGACTGAAGTGGGGCAGCCAGCATGGGAGAGGAACACGAGCCTAAGCCTGGGGACGGGGGGCAGTGTCCCCACCCGGGACCACAGCCACAACAGCAGGGCAGGTATGTGAACTGGCCCCAGCTCCCCATGGCAGCCCCTAAGGCGCCACTGGCCAATGTGCCCTCTGGCCCCTGGGGTAACACACACCTGGGCTCAGCCTCAGACTGCACCGGGAAATCAGGGTCTTGCACCCTCACCCATGTTGTGGCACCACTCAGCCCCTTCCCGGCATCTTCCACAGGTTTTTTCCTCCTCGTGGGCAGCACCTCGACCACAGGGACCACCGGCCCTGCCCGGCTCAGCAGTCCCACATTCCAAGCCACCAACTCGTGCTCTGTGAGTCACAGCTGGGGACCCACATTACAGCCCGTGTGGGCACAGTGGTGGCAGGGAATGAGGTCCCCAGCCTTGGGGACCCCCACATGGGGCTGAGGCTGGGATTGGCCCTTCGCTGGGGAAGGGCAGTGGGTTTTGGGGGATGGTTTGGTGGCATCTCTGGTGCCTGCTGGACCCCTGAGCTCCTCCAGCCCCACCTTTGTGATCATCCTGGGGGGCAGCAGCCATGTAGGGGGGACTGTGCGTCCCTGCCCAGGGCTTCAGGGCTCACTCATCCTGTCCCCAGCTCGTGCTGTACTGCCACCTCCACGGCTCAGCCACCAGCAGCCTCAGCATCTCCTATGTGACCAGGTCGACCAAGCACCTGATGAGGGAGAGGACAGGGGACCTGGGCAGCTGCTGGGTCCGGGAGAGGGTGAACTTCAATGTGACAGAGAGCTTCAAGGTGGGCTGAGGCCACACTGGGGCAAACTGGGCTGCCTGCTGGAAGAGGGGCATCGGGCCACCCCCAGTACACACCCCTGGGACATGGAGTAGGGACTCAACTGGGAACTAGACACCAGAGCTGAGCCTGTTATGCTGGCATGTGCCACTGCCATGTCCCTGTGCCCACACCTCCAAATTCCCCCCCTAGTCCAGGGACTATCCCACTAGGAACAGGGCAGGGGGTGTCTTCATCCATCCCATGTCACCCCATGTCTTCCCACTGTCCTGTCTGCTGTCCCCCAGGGCCACCCACAAAACCCAGCCACCTCCCAGCTGGCCTTGGTGGACACATCAATGGCACCCTGAGAGCACTCCAGCAGCACCCAGGGCAGCCACGGCCCATGTCTGTGTGCACAGGCAGCACCACAACCCCAAGCCCACCATGGCCTTCCCATCCCTTCCAGCCACAGCATTGCCCTGCTCTCACCAAGCCCCCTCCTGGGGAAGCACATGTTGGCTGATCACAGGGTTCCCCTGTCCCATGGGTCCCTGGTGTCCCCCCCAAGCCCAGTGCCATCTCCCAGCCCTTCCATACTGTGCAAGACCCTATGTTGACACTGCTATGTGGTGCTTCCCTGCAGGTGCTGATCGAGGGGGTGGCCAGTGGCACAGGCACTGTGGCCATTGATGACCTGATCCTGTCCCCGGGCTGCATGCAGGAGCAGGGTGAGCTGGAGGGTGGCTGCCCCCAACCCCTGCTCCAGAACAGGCAGCTGTTCCCAGGTGTCTTGTGCCTGTGGCATCACCCCTGAAGAGCCCACCACAGGGCTGTCCCTCTGCTCAGCCAGGTGACCATCCTGGGCACAGCATGGCAAGCACTTGCTCTGGGGACCACAGCCAAGCTTGCCTGGTGTCCTCGTCCTGCAGCTGTGACACCTTCCACCCCCTCCTCCCAAAACCATGCCCAAGCCATGTCACACAGGCAGCTCTCACCAAGCCCCTCCATCCCCTTCACCTGGTGGCAGCCAGCAGGGCAGGAATGGGGCTGGGGACACGGGAAGCAAAGGAGATCGCCGGGAAGAAGGGGCTGTGGCTTGAAGGGGTGATGCTGATGCTGCCAGGTCCCCTCACCACTGCTTTTCATCCCGGGGGGTTTCTCCATCAGAGAAGCCTTCACTCTCGCTGCCGAGCTGGACAGGTGCCGGGCACTGCACGGGCGAGGAGGTGGCGTGTGACAGCGGGGGCTGCATCAGCACGGAGCTGTCCTGTGACTTCGCGCAGACCTGTGCTGATGGCTCCGACGAGCAGCGCTGCGGTGAGAGCCCAGGGTGGGCACCGGCCCCCGGGCAGCCAGGGCACCGGGCAGGGTGACCCAGCTGGAGGACACAAGTGCCCACCAGCCCCTAGGACATGTGGTGGCCCAGCAGGGCTGAGCCTGGGCTTTTGCAGGAGCGACCACCTTCGAGGCGGGGGCTGGGGGCTGGCACGATGTCAGTGTGGGGCGGCTGCGCTGGGGTGTGAAGAGGGACACCGAGCCCACTCAGCCAACTGCCATGTTCATCACTGGTGAGGCCCTTCCTACCACTCAGATGATGCCTTTTGGTCCCCAGCACCACGGGGACTCCCAGGGTGTAGGGACCTGCTCCTGCCTAGCCAGGGTGGGTGTGTGCCCTGTGGAAGGGTGAGGGTGACGCCCAGGCAGGATGCTGTGCTGGGGAGGTGCAGCACCGATGTGGGCCTCTGCCCTGACTTCTCAGGGTGTTTTCTCGCCCAGGGGCTTTCCTGGCTCTCCAGGCAGGGGAAGGACAAATGGTGGCCGCTGCCAAGGCACGTACACCTCTGCTGGGCCCCTCTGGCCCTGCCTGCACCCTGGAAATGAGCTACCGCATCCGCCTTGGACCCCAAGGTAACCCCCTGCCCATGCCCAGGGTGCCCTGCCTTCTCCCTGCCCACCTCCTGCCTGGCTTCCGGGTGCCCTGCCTGTTCCCTGCCTGCTCTCTGCCCTGCCCTGGCACAGGGCACATACTCCCACCCCCTCCCTGTCCTTTCTGCCTCTACCAGTCTCACTCTTCTCCATCACTCCATCCTGGAGCCGGGGTGTCCCTGTCCCCTCTGGCCATGGGCTGGGTGGGTGCCAGGGCCCCGGGGGGTCTCCCCAGCCCCCTCTTCTCCTGCCCAGGCTTCCTCGCTGTCAGCGTTGCAGATCATGCTGCTGGCACCACTGACCTGGCCTGGCACACATCAGGGCACGGCAGCACAGCTGAGGGACACATCAGTGTCCCACTGGGAGAGAGGACCCGGCCGTTTCAGGTGCTCCCAGGGGCAAAGGACCAGCCTGGCTGCCTGCTGGCAGAGCGGCACCAGTGCCATGAGGCATCCCAGGCTCACAGCTGCTTTGGCACCCCAGGTCGAGCTGCTGGGGCTGATGGATCTGCAGGACTCAGTGAGCGCCGCTGCCATTGACAATGTGACATTTGTGCAGTGTCACCCCGATGTGATGCCACCGGGGGCCACGGGTATGGCCAGGGGCAGGGTGGGCAGCAGGAGGGGATCCTGGCCCCCAGCCCACAGAGATGGGCGCTGCTCCCACAGAGGCTGCCCAGTGACTGTCACCCTGTTCTCAGCCCAACAACAGGACCACAGTGCAGAAGCCCTGGGTCTGGGGCTGAGCTCTCATCCTGCCCCAGGGCAGCTGCATGGGGTGAACTGGGGGAGTGGGGCAGGGCCACTGGGGGAAAGGGACATTTTGGGGACCTGATTGTAGGGCACCCTAGCCTCATTCCCTCACCATGGTCCCCCCTCTCTGGCCAGAGCTGTCCTGCAACTTTGAGAGAGGCATGTGCGGCTGGTACCAGGATCAGTCCAGTGACTTCAGATGGGTCCATGGCACAGAGCAGGGACAGGGCCCTGACCACACCACTGGCTCAGGTAAGGGGCTGGCTCTTCTCCTGGGGACCCCAGGTAGCCCAGGTGACCCTCCTGTCCTCAGGGCTGGGACGTGCCCTGTGCACTCCAAGCAGCCCCACGCCTGCAGGGTGAGCTCAGCCAGGCCCACCCAAGGGGCACATGGATCCAGGGCTGGAGTGTGGGTGATGTGGGTGCAGCTCGGAGCACCCATGTCCATGTCCCCTCCACCCTGTTTGTTCCCGACACTCAGGCTACTTTATGGCAGTGGACCCTTCTGCACCGTGCAGCCGCAGGCAGCGGGCACAGCTCATCACCTACAGCCAGGAGCCCACCACTGCCCCACGCTGCCTCTCCTTCTGGTACCGTCTCGCCGGCCCACAGATCGGTACACAGCCCCACAGCAGCCTCCTGGGGACACCCCAGTCCTGCTTTGCTCCCCAGGGGACCAGGGAGTCTCCAAGGGGTGTGGGATAGCAGCCTCATGCTCCCCTCTGCCCAGGCACCCTGAACCTCAAACTGTGGCTGGAAGGAGCAGAGGACACTGTGCTGTGGACCCAGCGGGGGACCCGTGGCAGCCTCTGGCACCGGGGACAGGCCACACTGCCCAGCACGGGCCGGCGGCGGTACCGGGGGAGGGCTGGGATGCCCCGTCCCGCCAGGTGCCAGCGGGACTTGGGGCCACCTGACCCCGCTTCTGGCGGCAGGTGGCCTTCGAGGCCCTGCGGGACGGGTTCCAGGGGGACATGGCACTGGATGACCTGGCACTGACAGCCGGGCCCTGTGGGGCCGAGCCCTCCTGCTCCTTCGAGGTGGATGAGTGTGGGCTGGCAGGCAGCGGCTGGCGGCGGCAGAGCAACGGCACCGGCAGCACCGCCGGGCCTCGGGCTGACCACAGCACCGGCACCTCCACAGGTACCAGGGCCATGCCTGCCTGGGGCTCTGGTGGAGCCTCCTGCCTGCCCTCCCTGCCCTCCCTGTGAGATCTGCCAGGGTTTGCAGAGGCCACCACTATATGGAGCTCCATAAGCCCCAGACTCCCCCCACCCAGGGAGATTCTCCAGCCCCATCAGTTCCCTGGTGCCCTCAGCAGGGCTGGGTGGGGGTCACGGTGTGGGGGCTTGTCTTCCCCCAGGCCATTACATGGTGGTGAGCACGGGCAGGGGGTCCCTGCCTGTGGGGCAAGTGGCTGCCCTCACCTCCCAGCTCTACCAGCCCTCTGCAACCACCCAGTGCTTGGCCTTCTGGTACCAGCTGAGCGCCCAGACCCCAGGTGAGAGTCGTGACCCTTTGTAAAGCCTGCGGGGCACCTCTGAATGGGTGAGGGTCCCACATGGCACAGCCCTGGACCACCCCATCCATGGCGGGTGCCCTGGGCAGGCTCCCTTGGCGTCTTTGTTGAGCAGAACATGGTGCGAAGGAAGGTGATGAGTGTGAGCACCATGGAAGGGGATTCCTGGCACCGTGGCCATGTCACCGTCCAGCCAGATGGGGACTGGCAGGTGAGATGGGGCAGAGTGCCAGGGTCTCCTGGTTGCCTGGGGACAGGTTGGAGGTGACGAGGGCAGCATGGGGACTGCCAGCCTCAGCCTAGCCCTCCGGCAGGTCATATTTGAGGCAGTGGGAGCTGGGGTTGACCATGGGTACATCGCGCTGGATGACCTGCACGTGTCAGAGGGAGCCTGCCCTGAGCCAGGTGACAGCCCACACCATGGGGACACCACAGACTGGTGGGGGGGACAGCCCAGCCTCTCCATCACTGCTCTGCTGTGGCCACTGGTCACCCTGCTGGGGTGCAGTGGGAAGGGGGCTGGGGGTATTCCCCTGGATGCCCCAGCTCCCGCTGAACAGCAGGTGCCTGTGGCACAGGGTGCATCACAACCCCCCCTTTTTCCTCCCAGGGTCCTGTGACTTTGAGAGGGACACGTGCGGCTGGAGCAGCCCCCCAGACCCCCACCTGCATGGCTTTGCCTGGGGCTGGAAGAGTGGGATCCCCCTTGCCAAGTACCCCAGCCCTGAGCAGGATCACACCCTGGGCACAAGGGATGGTAGGAGACCCCCAGACACCCCAAGGCATCAGCTAGGGGAAGGAAGAGGGACTGGAAATGGATGGGCCCACCTGGGAATGTCCTGGGAGCCCTGGCTCCATAGCATCCCTGTCCCTGAGAGGGATGGCTGAGCCCCAGAGGCAGTGAAGGGCAGGGTGGGGGTGCAATCCTCTGGGCATCAATCTGGGCATTTTTGGGGGGAGCAGGACAGACAGGGTGGGCTGCAGAGCTGGGGGACACTCTGTGCTCTGTTCCTACCTATCCAGGTCACTACATGCACTTTGACACCAGTGTGCTGGGCCCCGGGGGCACGACTGCCCGGCTGGAGAGCCAGCACCTGCCTGCTGCTGCCAACTCCTGCCTGCGGTTCTGGTACCACATGGACATCCCGGAGCACCTCTGTGAGCAACTGCAGGGGCAGGAAGGAGCTGCTGGCCCTGGGGAGAGGGTTAGGAGCCTACCATGATGCAAGAGGGGACTTGGTCAGGGGTCCCAAACCCCCTCCCCACCCACAGGACCACAGACACTCTGGTTTAGCTCTGGTTGGGTGATGGGGATGGCATGTTTCCACTGTGTGCTGCCATCTCAGGGGACAACAGCCCAACTGGGATGGCCTAGTGGCTCTCAAGGTCTCTGGGTGGCCATTGGTGCCAGACACTTGTCCTCCTTGTTGCAGCCTGTGGGGAGCTGCGGGTGCTGGTGCAGGGCCCGGCGGGGCGGCGCACGGTGTGGAGTGTGCCGGGGCACCAGAGCCGGGGCTGGCAGGGAGCTGTGGTGCCCACGCAGAGCCCCAGCGAGTTCCAGGTGAGCAGAGACATCCTGGGTGTGGGGGTCCCTCAGAGAGCACAAGGAGCCCTCCCAATGCAGCACCCTGCCCCCTCCCCCTTCTCCCCCCATCTCATCTTTCCCTGCAGCTCATCTTTGAGATCAGCACACAGAGGTGGCCGATGGAGGGGACAGTGGCTCTGGATGACATTGTGTACAGCACTGGGAGGGGCTGCCATTCCATCCCAGAGGCATCAGTGGAAGGTTTGGGGCTGGTTCTGGCTGTGAAATGTTGACAGCGGGGCTAGGCCCAGCTCTCCCGGGTGGTGGGTCGAGCTTGACAGCATCTCCTCTCCCTGCAGAGAAATCCTCCAGCAGCTTCACGGTGGAGGTGGTGCTCAGTGTTCTCCTGGCCACCACTGTCCTGGTGCTGGTGGCTGCTGGTGGCTGGTACTGGCTGGGGGGGCGAGGGCTGGCCAGTGGGTCACCGGCAGAGAGCAATGTTCCCCAAGGCTTCGACAACATCACTTTCCGAGATGTAAGGACAGGGGGAAGGGCTCCCTCTTGCCTCAAACCGAGTCAAAACAGCATTTTCCGAAAAGCTCAGCAGATCCCAGTGGGCTCCCCCTGTGCCTACACTGCCAACACGGCAGGGAGGTGCAAAGGGCTCGGCTCTTATCTGGTCACCGGTGACTGAGTGACCCTGAGCTGTAGGACTGACCCAGAAATGCAGCTGCTGCCGTTAGAGCTGCCCCAGAAGGAGGAGCTGAGGCTGTGGATCCTCCAGCTTGGAGCCTGCTGGGAGCGAGGCAAACCAACCTTGCTTGTCCTCTGTAAACCACAGCTCCACACCGTGAGAGGCAGCTTCAGCTGCAGTTTCCTTTGCTGGACTGGGTGCCATGTAATATGCAGCAGAGCCACCAGCCCCGGAACTGACCCCAAAAGAGGCTGTGGAGCCCTCTGGGTCTGCTGGGGATTTGGCTCCTCTGCTGGGGTCATGGTGGGCTGGCACAGACATTCTCCTCTCCACAGCTTGGAAGAAGTCCTTGTATTTCATAGACACAGCCCAGGCACGCTGTGATCACCTGCTGCTCACTTTCCTTTGCAGGACAAGGTCACTATCTCATCAGTGCCAAAAGAAGGGGATGAGGCCTGAAACCAGGAGCAGTAACTGCCTGCCCAGCCCAGCGAGGGACCACAGGACAGAACATCCCCCATCCAGCAGCTTCTCAGACTTCAGCAGCTGCCTCTGGCTCTTGGCATCGGACACCGGGCAGGGGGGGAGGTGCTGCAGGTGCTGCCCCGGGGCATCAGCCCCCAGAGGTGCCACTGCCTCCACTACCCCAGAGTGCTCGGGAAAAGCATTATTAGCTTTTGTAACTTCAACTTTCCTCACTGAGCTGTAGCTCTGTGCCCGTGATTTGACAGGTGCCATCTGCAGGAGTTCCTCACAGCCACCATCCTCACCCCAGTAGGGTCCCAGACATGGAGTCAGGTGAATTGCACAGTCTTGGCCCCAGCCAGGGCTGGGCAGCTCAGCAGGTGCTGCATGGAGCATGCAGCCTGGATTAGGAGCGAGAGCTCCCAGGGCACAGGGCCACACTGGGGAGGAAGCTTCTGCTGGCCTTGGAGGGGGGATTGGGCAGAGCAGGGGGCACCACACAGCACAGCTCCAGGCAGAGAGCAGCCCTGACCCCACTGTGGGTGACCACCCACTGCAGGACCTCCCAGGCATCATAAGAATTTGTATTTAAATGTCACTTAGGAAACATGTTCCCCAGGCTCAGGCCAGGCTCAGGGTACAATGCCTACTTCTGCAGCCCGGCCCAGGACCCCCCACTTCCCTTCCTCCTCCAGCTTTGAAAACTGAATCTAATACCATGCAGCCCCTGAGCAGCCCGTGGCCAACCTCACCCCCCAGGTCCAACAGCACAGGGCAACCTGTCCAGGCAGGATCCTGCCCTCCCCAAACCCCAAGCTTCTCGGGAGGGGTTGGGGGTGTCCTGCTTTCCTGGTCCACCAACACACCCTGGTTTACCTCTGGCCCTGCTGCAGACAGCTCTCCCCTCAGCTCCATCTTGCTCAGGCTGCGTCCCAGTCCCTTGCGAGCACCATCCTCCAGCTTCAGCACAGCCCCATCCCGCAGGAACAGGCCCCCAAAGCTCAGCCCATGTGAACTGAGTCAACAGAGGTGAGACAAGGGCCCTGGCTCTCTACAGCTGCCGACCAAGGGCCTCTGCTCCCACCTCATCCTGCAGAGATCCAGAGCCTCCTCTTGCCTCCACACACCATCAGACTAGAGGACTGATTTCAGTTCTGGGCTGGGAGCCAAGGCTGCAGCTCACTCCCCCAGGGAAGGGGGCTGGGCAGCCAGGAGCGCTGCAGAAGCACCCACCGCTGCCCCAGGCCCCTCAGGCAGCACCGGGAATCGCAGCTGCCTAGTGGAGGGGCTGCAGCTCCGGTCTCCCCCAACTTTATCAGCACCTGGTGGACATGCAGCACCCACCCTGTGAGACTAAGGGTATCAAACTTTATTATAGAGCTCTTTAAAACAGGCTGGAAAGAACAAAACTATCATCGTGAAGCAGTGACCAAGCCATCATTTCAAATGCAGACACCCCCAACTCACCCCTATTATTTATATAAAAATCTATCTCACCCATCCCTCAGTTTTTTCCAATTAAATGATCCCATTTCAGACCCCCCCAAGTGTCTTAACACGACCTGCTTCTAAACACCAAGACACACATTTTCTGGCAAATCAGAAGCAGGTTTTTTGGGTTCCTCAAACTCTGGAAAGGAGGAAGGAAAAACAAAACCAGGAAAATTGCTTCTTTAAGGTTGTCTTTTTACAGCAGGAACAGATTCGGCAGATTTCCCCCCCAAAGCAAGTCTGTAACCCTCTTGTTCAGCTTGGCAATGCACAGAGAGATCCTAGTGGACGAGGAGAACCAGCCAGGTGGGATCAGTCTGAACAAACTGATTTCGAGGCTTTGTTGTCATTTCCCTTTGGGGCCGGTTTCCAGCGGTTTTCCAATATCCTTCCCACGCAGTTTAAGGCCTGGAATAAGACAAAGGAGATTGCCACCAGCTGCCAGCAGTGCACAGTCATTTTATGATGATCAATTTATGATCTTACCCGATAACCTTATGTCTTACGATGCTTGGCTATAAGGAAAAGAACATCGAAAAAAGAGCGTGGGGAACTGGTTAGGGACAATCCTACTGCAGTTTCTGGGAGCACCAGACTAGTTTCAGACAAAGTTCCAATTTTTGCCTGTGCATTATCTTCCTGGAAAATGCTGTCTGAACTGGTCTAGGAGAGTGACATAAACACTAGCGACCTCAAGATCCTTTCAAGTATCATCAGGCCTTTCTGCAGCTCAGGTTCTCACACATTTTGGGGGAGAAGCGCAACAGGGTGGTCCTCAGGGTAGGGTGATGAGACCTGGGGCTGTTTAGTCCTGAGAAGAGAAGCCTGAGAGGGGACCTGATGAATGTCTATAAATACCTGCAGGGTGGGTGTCAAGAATGGGCCAGCCTCTGTTCAGTGGTGCCTGTGATAGGACAAGGGGAAATGACATCAAGTGACAACACAAAGTTTCACCTCAACATGAGGAGAAACTTCTTTCCCAGGGAGGATGACAGAGCCCTGGCACAGGCTGCCCAGAGAGGCTGTGGAGTCTCCTTCTCTGGAGACTTTCAAGACCTGTCTCAATGTGTTCCTGTGTGACCTGCCCTGGGTGTTCCTGCTTGCAGCAGGGAGGTTGGACTTGATGATATGCACAGGTCCCTTCCAGTCCCTGTGATTCTATGATAGCTCAGCTCTGGTTTCAGGCTTCAAGTTTTATCAGAACATGGCTTAATGACACCACACCCTCAATGACCTACAGCCAGCAACTGCTCCTGACGTGGAACATGGGAATAACCCAACACAGCCCTCCCAAGCACTAAGAACAGTGTCCTGAGTTTTGAACTCTCCTTTCTTAACTTACCAATGGCTCTTTCGATCTTGCCCATAACCTGGTTGTTGGGGATTGCTCTTCCGGATTCATAGTCAGCAATAACTTGTGGTTTTTCATTGATTTTCTAAAAAAGAGAGGAGGCATCTCCAACACCAGGTCCATGCACAACCAACACGCAGCACCAACCCTCTGATCAGCAACAGCCTCTAACTCCCCCAAGATTGGAAGGCCAAAATGCTACTTGCAGGCTCAATCCATCCCAGCTATCACCTCCCTCCAGTATCTGAGTGACACAGCCCTGGCAACACCCACCCTGGACAGACTTCAGTCCCCCTCAGCCATCCTGGAGGAGCAGTAACACCAAGTGTTGCTGTTCCTCCAACGGAGCAGCGAGCTCCTGAGCACTGCATCAGGCCCAGATGGTACAAAAAGCCTCACATGGCTGCTGAGCTGATGGCAGGGAGAAAAAAAAAAAAAAAAAACCCCCTGCCATTAACCAGGCAGGGTAGAGTGTCTCCAGCATATGCATAAAAGTATCTGACACTTCATTTTGATCAACCCAAGATTAATTTTCTTTCAAGCAGCAACTTTTCCAGGGCTTCCACGCTTCTCTGTTTCAAAACTGAGCCCTCGTCACGTTTCCCACATCAGTTTCTGATGACCAAGAGCTCAGTCTGCTGCAGGGCAGGCTTGGGAGCTCTGTGGTAAGGACAGACCCCACAGGCTCCATCTGATGCTGCTGAATCTGGCCTGTGTTGGTCCCACAGGGATCCTGGGCTTCATGAAGCTGCTGCAATATGTTCCCTGTGCCCTGAGTTTGCCTTTCCAGCAAAAAAATGTCACCCTGCTTCAGGGTGCAAAGAAAAAAAAAAAAAAAAAAATCCTCCCACCAGCCACAGCAACACTCTGTCTCCGAGCAGGTGTCCAAGGGCTGCACAGATAAACCCCTAAAACATTTCCTTGGTAACTAACATTGCCCGGAGATCAAACAGCAGAGATGCTGCATTCACCAAACTCCTTGCTGGTGACACCATCCCACTGCAACTGCCCACGACAGGACAGAAGTGTCCAACCTCACCTCGAGGTGCTCAAAGCTGCCTGAGGAGAGCAGGGGCAAAGGCCAACAGGCCCCAGCTGCACTCACCGTGGCCAAGTCCTTCTGTGTCATGCCCTTGCTCTGCCGGCCCTGCTGGATCACTTTGCCCACCTCCAGGGGAACTCTGTCATGGTGCAGCTCTTCAGTCTCTCGGTCGAGCTTGGCCGTGTTCTTTGTAATAAAGTGTTGTTTGTTCTGGCCTGCTGCCCCTGTCATTCAAAGCAAGAACAAAAAACAAAACAAGAGCAAACAAAACAAGGCTCAGAGCTGTGCCAATAAGTATCAAAGTGCCTGTTCTAAGCTTTCAGCTGCCCAGGATCCCAGGGAGCTTTGAAGGCTTCGACACCCCAACACCTGCCTGCTGCAGGTCAAACACTTCCTCTTAATCCAGGTTATGCCCACGTCTGAACACAGCCAGGCAGAGCCCTCCCCTTGCTTCACTTCCCATCTGAACTTCACTCCAGATTTTGCTGTTGCCTGGGGATTTATTATTCAAACTTCATCCCAGACACACACTTGTGCTGTGGTGTGGAGTGAGTTAATATTTGGACTTGAACCTTGTTTGTTCAGGTATAAGGCAGCATAAATAAGTGGCTCTTAATCAACTTTCTGATATTTTTTAAAACTCCACTTACCTTTGAAGAAAGCAGAAAATTCAAAGCCATGCTATTTGTCTCATTTTAGTCACAGTATTAGTCAGTTTAAATCCTTTCTCTCTTGTTAGTCTCTGATATCCAGTCTCAATAAGTCTGACTAAACCTTGTTCAAGGATCATCTAGTTATTTATTTCCAAACATCATAATCTCCTCCCTATGGTGAGAGAACCTGAGAATTAATCTCAGACAGGAAATGGCATTTTTAAAGAGCAATGCCACAGGAACATCACCAGTCACTGAAATCCTTAAACATATGTTCACAATGACAGAAATAAGGCGTAAAAATTCGGATTTTTAATTTTGTGATCATAAAAGCTCTTCCAAGAGTTTTGCAGATACCAGCTCAGCTCTAAGCAACAACAAACTCAGAGCTGGCTGCAGAGGAGCACTCCCCACTTTCCCAGCGTGCTGCCTGCCCTCCCTGGGTGCTCCCTGCCCAGCCGGTGGGTTTCAGGTCTGTGCAGCCCCAGCCAGGACGACCTTCGGATTAGCTAGGGGCTGCTGCCTTATGTCCCCCCTCATGCAGGCACCGCCTTCGCGGTGGGGCGGGCCAGGGAGAGACCAGGCCTAGGGCCGGGCCGGGGGCCTGAGCACCGGCGGGTCCGGCTCCCCGGGGCCTCCCCCGTCAGGCCGCGGGATACCCACACTTCTTGGAGGTCTCCACATCCTCTCCGCGCCGCTGGGCTGCCAGGATCGCCTGAGGAGGGGAAAAGAGCCCA